GGGGGGTGAGTGGTTGACTACGGTGAGGCTCACGCGGGCGGCCAGGCGCGGAGAGGCGGCCGGGATGGGGCCCCGCGTATGGGTGTGGGACATCCCGCCGCCCTCCCACGGCTGGGGAACCTCACCGCTCATGGGTGACACGAGCGAGGGCACACATGCTGGCACTGTGGATGCTGCCGGGATGTACGTACGGGTGCCAAAGGTTCATAGCTCACAAACCCCACTCCGTTTCCCGCCCCCCCCCCCCACACACACACACACCGCACTGAAGTCCCTCAACACGCAGGGCGCGACCCCGCTCGTGGCTGCCCCCAGCCGCGCCAGCAACCTCGAAACCCTGATAATGCGCCCATGCCGCACCTCGCAACCACGTTCCCCCTAACAAAAACATGGTTGGGACGCCACAACACACCCATACAGACCTATAAAAGCCAGGATTGAGACCGGATCACGGAGTATAAGGCAATGGGTACCACCCCACTAAGAGGCGGACTGCAAGTATTGCGGCGACCACGCCGAACCGCGCCGCCTCGCGCCCCGCGCCCCGCCCGAGCCCCGAGCCGCCCTGCCCCTCTTGCAGTGCCGCCGGGCCAGGGCCCCCAGGGCGGTGCAGAGATGCTCCATCGCACCCGCCTTGGGGGCCCGACAGGGCGCCGGGACCACGGTGCCTCTGCTGCGCCGGCCCCGAAAAACGGTGCCAAGTCGGGACGGGAGGAGCCGCCCTGCCCGCATACAAGCACCGGGCGTCTGGGGCGGTTTCAATTGAAGAATGGTGCAGCCGGGCCAAGCCGGGGTGGGGATGTCAAATGCTGCGACGACCTACCCCGGGGGAGGCCCAGAGAGCGCAGCGGCGGGCGCCGGCCGCGCAGATGGCGGGAACACGCGGAGCGGCGGCGCCGCAGCCAGGCGGGCGCGCGGATCGCGGGCGGCGCGCGCGGCGGCGTGCAGCGGGCGCGGGCCGTTGTCCCAGGCAGTGTCGGCACCTGCTTCCGCAGTGCGTCAGAGACGTGGTCACTCCAATCCACCCCAAGGCGTGATTAGCTTGGAATCTGGCTTGGCTTAGCCAGACTTGCCAAGCACGTGCATGCGGCACTCATCAGGCTTTGACGAAACCCCGCTCATGAGTTCTCCCATCAGCGGGGTATCATGGTGGGGTTTCCAAGCCAAATGACGTCACCGCTCTTCAACCACGCACCCCCACCTTGCTCACCATCGATCCAGACATTTCAACAAGAAATCACAACTACATGACTCAATCC